AGTAAGAGCATCTCAAATGAAAATTTTCTTAAATGCCCCAGTACATAACTTAGTGAAAGTGCACTTGTCTAGCATGTTGAGCCCCTGGATTCAACCCCCTAACCCACAAAACAAAACAGAAAAAAAGAAAAGCATACTTGTATGTTACTGGGTTTTACAAATGTCTCAGATTTAAATTTTGATATGGGGAACACAAATACAAGCATGGTAAATCTTAACAGACAGCCGGAACAGTGAAGCCCTAATATGTTGCATTTGTCATTTTCCAAATATTTTCAGCTACCAAATCATGTCACTGGAGTCACTGATGGAAGGTATAGGAACAGTCAGCTCTAGAGAAAGAAGGGCCCAGTACACTGCTGCACAGAACACTGAGAAGAGGGAGCTCTTCAGGGTCTTGAGACCAAAAGAGTTAAGAACATCAATTAAGAATAAAGTAAAACCAGAAAACAAAATTTGACAACCACTACATCAACCTCTACCAAACCATATGCAAAAATGTACATGGTGCCCTGCCAGGACTGGGAGATGGAAGCCTGGTCCACACCCAGGAGCTGCAGGGAAGACAGAAGTAAGAGAGAAGCCAGCTGGATGGGGACCCTGAGCAGGAGGCCCTGGACGGAGCCAGTGTGGAGTGGAGAAGGCTGCCTGTGGTCAGGAGGCCTTGTTTTCTGGCGAACAGAATCATAAGCCCACTGCTGCCTCTGCCTCAATGCTTCGGGCCCATGGGCAGGCTGAGCAGGGAACCAATGAAGGAGAACTGCAGGTGGTTTTAAAACTGATTCACAGGGACGCTCCCTCCACCCCAAGAAGGAGCCAGACTGACCTGAAACCAGAGAGGAGCCAGTAAGGCCCAGCTCTCAGTGACCTCTCCCATTTCCCTTGGCCTCTGGGCTTCTTCTGAACACCAGTGTGAGCCAGCACGAGCTCCAAGAAGGACAGGACTGCCCTGTCCCTGAGCTGGTAAGAGACCAGGAAGGACGCCCAGAGAGCACGAACCATGCACGCAGGTGGGGAGCAGCAGGGCACGGCACAGGCAACTGCGGGTACCCTGGTCAGAGACGATCTGTGGGAGAGGCTGAGAGAGCAGAAGAATGCTCTCCTGCCTAGACAAGAAAGAGTGCGTAGGGACAGACCGCGGCTGTGCCAAAGACGCCAGGGCCTGGGGCCAGGAGCAGGATGTAGAACTAGAAAGGCATGAACTTTAAAATTAAAAAAAGAAAGGCATGGAAGAGGAGGCTAGCGAGGAAGGCCCTGAGGCCACCTGCAGACTATAGATTCCTTGCCATCAGCAGCAGGAGTTTCCTGTCCCTCAGGGCCCAGCAGACCTGATCCTTGGTCAGTCTCTCTCAGAGCATTCTTCCTGGCCTGCACCAAAAGCTCCTCCAGCCCCACTGCTGCTGACCCTGTAGTGGAGATGGCCCAGGCCTGCCTCATACCCCAGCCCACCTTCCCTGGGACTTCCCCTAGAGCAGTGATGGTGAACCCAAACTGCAAACCCAAGACTTACTCGCTCATCACAGAGTCCCAGAACTGCAGTTACACCTGAACACTAAGGCTGTAGTTTAGAAAAAACAACTCATACATTAACATCTTTCATCTTCAAAGGAAAACACAGCAATGCTAGTGCCATAGGTTGCTGCCACTGCTACAGGGCCTCTCCTCCCCGCTTGGAACACCAGCCTGGGACAGGGCAGGGGAGCTGGGGTGCTGACGCCACCCTAGGCAGGAGGCCTTGGAAGGAAGACTTGAGATAACACAAGAAAGAAACATATTTGAGGACAAGCATGAGCCTGGGCACACCTTTGGGGTCCACTCGATCTGCTGAATGTTCTCAGTAAATGCCAATACATGGTCTCTTCGAGCTAGAAGGGTTTGATTTCAGAGAGGAGCAGTCAGAAGTGGAAGCACCATTGTTAGTAGGGAAATGAAGAAGGGGATTGGTGGCCAGGGCACTGGTGACCTCCGGGGCTGAGCGCGGGCAGTCCATGTTTGCCCTCTCTGTCTCCGTCTCCACTGTTCATGGACTCTTAACATCCAAGGTCTCATACACAAGTCGTTTTACTGGACTCATTACCATGGTTGGTGAGGACACAGTCAGATCCCTACCTTCTTGTGCACAATGACCAAAGTTACACAGGGCACACAGTGGTAAAGCAGCCACGGAGTCTAACCAGGCTTGGAGGGGAACAGGCTCACCAGCACAGAGAGAAGTGACCCAAGCACTAAAGGTGCAGAGCTGAAGAATTTAAAATGCTACACAGGTCTGGGAGGCCTCCCATTGGACCTTCCAGACCCTGACAAGCAGCAAGACCGACGGGCCGAGTCCTGTCTTCTGTCTACTGCGCATGCCCTTTCCCATAACTCACAGTTGGAATCCGAAGTGGGTGATGCAGTCAGTATGCACGAACACGGATGAGCTCCAGGTAAAGAAAGGTCACTGCAGGCCATGCAGGCAGGTCAGAAACTGCATGCCTCTTCCTGGGGGATTTTGAAATTTTCCAGGGCAGGCTGTGGTCTTAGATTTTCTTATCTCTGCCTCTGGATAGTAGTCTAAGGATAAAGATGGAGTGGCCTGGGGCATTGCCCAGGTTGAGGTGAGTGAGGGTAGTGGCCCAGCTGCCACTATCTTTGATTCTCTCACCCTGCATGAGAGGAGACCCCCACACCAACTGCACAGTCTGACTGAAAACTACAGGAAGTGTTTCTCTTTTATTACAATAAAAGACATGATATCATTTGTCTCCTTCAAGTAGTCCCACACTTATCCCATCATTCTTGCCATTTTCTTTTTTGAAAATCCATTTTATTTCAAGGATAAAAAGAAAAAAGTAGAATAAAAAAAGAAAAAGAAAAAAGCTACAACTAAATTTCAAAATACATCAACTTGGGGGGCAACAATGGTACATGCATTACACTTTGTCATCCCCAAATCATTCACCCAGAGCACAAGACATCTACATTCAGTTGTCCCAACAATACCAGCACAAATCTTTCTCTTCAGTAAACTCAGGGAAATCATTAGTATAACTATGTTAACTAGTTCATATATATATATATATATATATATATATATATATATATATATACACATGTTTTCTCTTTCAGCTTCTTATGCTAATGAAACAATATGATGTTTACACATGCATGCCTTATTTATTTCACTAATGAGTATGGTCTCAAGTTGCATCCATCCAAGAAGGATAAACTTGAGACTTTTATAGGGTAAATCTATAAAAGTCTCAAGTTTATCCTTCTTTATGGCTGAGTAGTAGTCCATTGTATAAAAAGACCGTGTCTTTTTTATCCATTCCTCAGCCAATGGGCATTTGGATTGTTTCCAAGATCTGGCTATTACAAATTAGGCCACCATAAACACGGGTACATATATATCACTGTGTTATGATGTTTTTAATACTTTTGGGAAGTTACTCAGAAGGAGACCAGCTGGTTTGAATGGAACCTCTAATCCTACTTTTTTGAGGAATCTCCACACTAATTTCCACAGTGGTTGCACCAGTCTGCATTCCCACCAATAGTGGAAAAGGGTTCCTTTTTCTCCACATCCCCTCCACCATTTGCTATTGCTTGATTTCTTGATAATAACCTTTCTTTCCAGGGTGAGGTGAAATCTCAGTGTTGTTTTAATTTACATTTCTTGAATGACCAGTGATGTTGAACACTTTTTCACATATTTATTTGCTGTTTGTATTTCTTTATCTGAGAAGTGTGTATGCATCTCAGCTGCCCATGTTTGGACTGTTTCTTTAAATCTGGAAGCACTGATTTTTTTGAGTTCTTTATATGCTCTCAATAGTAATCCTTTGTCTGAGGTATAGCTGGCAAACATTTTCTTCCACGTTGTGGGTTGTCTGTTCACTCTGTTGGTGGTTTCTCTTGCTGTGCAAAAGCTTTTCAGTCGGGTGAGATCCCAGTCGTTGATTCCTTATGATAGTTCCTGTGTAATCAGGGTCTTATTCATAAAATCTTTGCCTACATCCATGTCTTCAAGAGTATTGTCTACTCTGCCTTCCAGCATATTTAATGTTTTTGTTTTAATATTAGTATCTTTGATCCATTTTGATTTTAGCTTAGTGCATGGTGAAATATATGGGTCCAGTTTTAATCTTTGGGATGTGTTTTCCAGCACCATTTAATAAAAAGGCTATCTTTCTTTCAGTGAATACATTTGGCATCTCTGTCAAAGATAAGGTGGCTTAATGTGTCTGTTGTTTCTGCATCTTCTGATCTGTTCCATTGATCTTTGGGTCTGTTTTTTGTTGTTGTTGTTTTTGTTTTATTTTGTTTTTTGTTTTTGAAAGTACCACACTGTTTTTTTATCACAGCAGCTTGATAGTATAATTTCAAGTCAGGGATTGTGATGCCCCTGTCTTGTCTTTGTTGCCCAGGATTGCCTTTGCTAGGGATTGAGAATATCCCATGCATACTAACAGATCATAGTGCAATGAAATTGTAAATCCATGCCAAAGGAAACCATAAGAATTTCATAAACACATGGGAATTAAATAGCACCCTACTAAAAAACCAATCAGTCACAGATGAAATTACAGACGAAATTAGACAGTGTTTACAGTTGAATGATAATGACAATACAACATGCCAGAACTCATTGGACACAATGAAAGCAGTCTTAAAAGGGAAATTTATAGCAGTAAATACTCATACCAGGAAAACAGAGCAAGCACATATAAACAACTTAATGTTAAACCTCTTCTAGAAAAAGAGGAGCAGGCTAAGCCAGAAGCTTGTACAAGGGAGGAAATTTTAAAGATCAGAGAAGGAATTAACACACTGGAGAGTTAAAAAAAAAAATACAAAGAATCAATGAATCAAAGAGTTAGTTCTTTGAAAGATTAAATAAAATTGACAAACTCTTAGTCAATCTTATCAAAAAAAAGAAAAGAAAAGATTCAAATCCATGCAATCAGGAATGAAAACTGTGTAATGTTGCAGGAAAGGACAGAGAGAGAAGTGCATACCTGCATCCATTAGGATGTGTGGAAATAGCTCTGGATGCTCACACGGCAGCGGCCACACAGGCTGGTAAAGAGGAAGCAGGGCCTGCAGGGCCAGCAGGAATCCTTCCCCCAGAGCCTTTTGCAGCCTTTGGCATCTGAGCCATGTGAGCAGGCTGCCTGTTCACAAAATCATAACAGACATTTTAAGATGGGAAAAAAGGAGAAGTGAGGCACATACAAGCCCAAAGTAGCTCCTCTCCCCGGCTGGGCCAGGTACCGCCAGTGCAGGGACAGGAAGAGTGGGCCGTGCTCATACCTACGCTGGAAGCCAGCCAGGACTTGGCTGCCAGCCACACTAGCCCTGGAGGCCGGATCCACTGCCCCTGCCTTAGAAATGCTGTCCTGGCAGGAGTCTTCCTCAGAGGCCTGCAAGTTCAGGCTTGCACCAATGCAGTGCCCCTGGAATGCCTCCTTCCCCTCGGCAGCTGGCAGGAGCAGTGCTGTTTCTTGGCCAGGCAAAATGTGGTGCTTATGGGGCTGCATCTGCAGACAAGGGCCTGGATGCAGCTCAGATACAGAAACTACCTCTTTACCTCTGTACACATGTCCTAGTGCCCTGCCCAAGTCAAACCAGGCACTGAGAAGCAGGCATAGGGCCTAAGGGTTGCTTGGTATGAGGTATGCACTCCCAAACCAGAGGGTGGACATGTGTGGGAACAGGCACATGAGAGGACAGGGGGGCAGATGTACCCTCACACATGCATGTGCACAGTTGGGTATATGTCTATGTGTGAAGCAGAAGCCCAGCCCTGAAGCTGCCATGCATCTGGGGTCCACAAGGCAAGAATGTAATCCATCTGTAGATTCCCACCCCTGCACCTCACATGCAGGTTGAGTCTCTGGAATATTCTGTCAGCTGTTTCACTTGAGTGGGTTCACCTGTAACTCAGGGTGATGAGAAGGAGATGATAAAGACCCTAAGAAGTGGCAGCAAATTGGTGACGGCAGCCATGTGGCACCTGGGGCATGGACCAGGAGCACTCAATATTTCACCTGCTTTCTGATTTTGACTCCAGACCCCACTGATAAGCCCTCCTGAGCCTAAAAGACATGACTTGCCTCATAGGCCAGCTGAGGACCAGGCTCAGAGCAGGCAGAGAGGCCTTGGGTGAGGGCTGGCACCAGATGCTGACCTGCCATGGGTGACCATCCATCAGTGCTGAGCTCACAGAAGCCCCACACAGCCACAGCAACCACAAGACATAGCCTACGCCTTTCCAGGTCTCTCTTACTCCTGGAGGATGACCAGACCCAGCACCCCACTTCACTTCTACAGAAGCCAGCAGAAAGAGTAGGGTAAGGTGGGATGAGATGGGGTGGGGTTGGGTGGGATGGTGTGGAGTAGATGGGGTGGATGGGATGGGATGAGATGAGATGGTGTGGGCTGGGGTGGCATGGGGCAGGGTAGGGTAGGATAGGTTAGATAAAATGGGAGCCACTCTTCTGTTTAACTCTTCTCATGGCTTCCTCTCAGGTTCAGGATAAAGCCACACAGCTCACATGCTCTAGAAGACCCCAGAGGACCCAAGTCCTACCTCCTCCAATGCCTCTCTCCCTTCCCCTCACTACGCTCCATATTAACATGCCAAGTTTGTTTGTTTTGTTGTTTGAACCTGAGGTCTGAAGGAAAAGACAAATTATCCCTGAAAATTCATAAATTCTGCACACAAGGTCCACATTGTTCAAGACTGAGGGTATAGGGCCCATATTTATTGTGCTTCATGGACTACATACTACACAAACAAAGAAACTAGCATGAAAAGTATTGGGGGACTGGTAACACTCCACAGATATCTGGCAACAGACATCCATATCAGTCCTTTCAATTCAGGTCATACAAGACCCTGCAGATAGATCCCCAGTGCACATGAGTTCACTCATCAAAACCACAAAACAGAGGCTGAGGATTTAGCTCAGCGGCATAAGCGCCTGCCTTGCAAGCAGGCAGTCGTGGGTTCGATCCCTGGTACCGACAAAAATAAAAAAGACAAAAAAAAAAAAAAAACAAGGGAGACAGCCATCAGGAGCAAGAGTTACAAGATGTGATAAATTGAGAATTAGCCCCAACTGCCTCAAAAAATGAGATATAAAATACAGAAGGTTTAAAGTTAGTAAGCACATGAAGAAGAAATAGAAATCATAAGAACAGAGTGTCATGTGAAAAGAGAGGGCTGATGCTCAAAGCACTGATGCCTCTGTGTTATACCAGCTGGCAATCCTCATTTCCTATCAGCCTTTGTTTCTTCTAATAGTATTATATCTGACTGCAAGTAACAAAAGACCCAACTGACCAACACTGGCTAAAGCAATTGTAGATTATTTTTCTCAGCAACAAAAACTCATGAATTGGAAAGCAAGCTGCTGCTCAACTGTTCATCTAGGGCATCTAAATCCTGGGCTCTTGTCTTGTCTTGTTTTGTCTATCCCATAGTAGCTGGTATGGCAGTACACACCTATAATCCTAGCACTAAGGAGGCTAAGGCAAAAGGATTACAGTGAATTCAAGGTCAGCAAGAACTATTTAGCAAGACCTGTCTCAAAAGTAAAAATAGACTTCATATAAACCATTGTTCATGGTCATCTTTTCTGCCTCATGGTTATAAAATAGCCGCTATACTCTATATACCACAGGACTGTGGGACAGAAGTGAAGAAAAGAAAGGTGAGTGGGAAAGAATGACCTACCTCTGTCCCAGCTGTCTCCAAATAATTACTGTTACCATCCCTACCACCTCATCATCAACCCCCCATCATTTTCTCCAGCATGACAATTACCAGCACCAGCACCACCATACTGTGATCACTATCACCATCATCACCACCACCATCACATCTACAATTATTATCACCACCATAATCACCATACCTGTGATCACCACCACCACCATACTCACTATAGTCACCATTGTCACCACCAAAATCACCACATCTACAATCACCACCACCACCGTAATCACCACAACTACAATCACCATTGCCACCACTAGCATCACTGTTTTCTCCATCACCATCATCATCATCACCATCACCTTCACTATCACCAACACTATCACCAATATCTTCAGGAGGCTTAGGTTCCATGGTGCCACCAGTGTGTCCTCTAAGATCTTTAGCCTGCATTTTGAATTATCAGGGAAGGGTAAATATGTGGTGCTCTTGAAATGTCTCAGGGCTGGCGTGAAATCTAGAGCCATACATCCATGACAACTATGCAGGGGGCCAAGCTCCCGGTGCCCAACCTTCCACACCACCCTCCACAATCTCCCCTACATCCCTCACTCCACTTTGACTCAACAAATGCCTTTCTCTTTCCTTACAAGGACATCAGCATGGCAACAGGGGTTTGGCTGGAGAGTTCTTGACAACAGGTGAGTTCAAGGGCTTGCTAAAAAGTAAAATAAAAAATGGTCTTAAGAGTAAAACAGAAAGTAATGCTTAATCAGTTCAAGAAAACACACCCTTCAGTCAAGCACATAGCACACTGATAAGTATTCGATTATTACAGAACATAGAATTTAAAACAGAGATCCTTGGCTAGAAGTTCACTGCTAACTATTGGCTTGTGCAGTTTCCTTCACTCTTTTAAAATAGGACTTCAGACTTGTCACCAGCTACACCTGAGCATGGGTACATCCAAGGGTTTGTACTCTGAAGATGAGGCAGGTCCTGAAGGCAGCTCACAGCAAGAGCAGCTCACACACATATTCACGTCCAGGCTGCAGTCCTCCTCGGCAGAAAGTGATTATAACACTCAGGGCTATTTGTGTGCAGGAGCATGAGACCTGCTCAGAACTGAGCGATGAGCCACTGGGGCCTTAAACAGCAGTTTAAACTTTTACAAAGTGCTGAACAAACTCTGTCAAAGGGAGGACAAGGTAAATGAAGTTCAAGGAAGAAAATTCCCTTGCTCAAATGGTAAAAGTCTGTGTTAGTAAATAAAGACAGTACAACTTGCATATTTCCATGCTTAAATCCACTAACACAGAGTTTTGTGATATTCTCATTGGCAATATCTTGAGTGTAACAACTGAGAACCACTGTGTTAGGCAGGTTGCCGTCGCTGGACATAAACCTGAAGCGAATCTCCTCCTACGCGTTCCATCACTGCCCAGCTGCACCACAGACTGGCACCAGGCCTTCCACACATGGGCCCTTGGGGAGCATTTAAGATCTGAACCACAGCAGCAACTAAAGGCATGTTTTCAGCTACAGCTCCCGGTCTGCATCCAGGGAGTTCAGAAGCAATGTTTTCTTCCCTGACCGTGGTGCCAGAGCTGGTGGCACAGATGGACCCTGTTGGCCTGGGGGAGGAGCCAGGGTATCAAACAACATCAGGAGGATGCTGGGTGGAGAGTGAACCAGAACAGAAGGAAACAAAGGTAGAAAGACAGAAGGCCCCTGGAGACAGGATACCAGCCGTCCCTAGGGCCGGAGCAGATCGTGGCTACTTTAGACACCCAGGTGCCTGCCCAGCAGCCTGAAGGAAAGGCCTGAGAAGAGCAGGGTAGCTGGGAACACCCTTCTCTCCCCAAGTAACCAGTGTCCTCTCCAAGACAAGAGCCTCTCCCGTCCTGCTCCATCCCACTCCGCAGGCCGGGGTCTCAGATGCCAACACAGGACACAGAGCACACAGCTTGGTCAGGAGGCCTTAGCCAGGGCCCCAACTCCTCTGAGCCTCAGCTTCATTATCTGAAAGGTAGAGCTTGGAAAGACCCTCAGCACATAGTGTGTTTGTGGGGTACACTTACGACAGCCCCTACAAAGCACCAGAAGGGCCAATGCCTGCTTACGTGCCAGTGAAGAGCTAAGAAGAAGCTGGTTTGTCCGAAACCACAAAGCTGTGAGCCACCATGGAGCAGCAGCTGGGCTGGGAATGAGGCCAAGCCTTGCATGGCCGCAGAAGCTGTTGTCACTCATTGCTCTGTTACAGTAATGCACGCCTGAGACAATCAGCTTATAAAGAGGAAGTGTTCGTGTTGGCTCACTGTCTTGGAGGTTTCAGACCCTGGTTGTTGAATGGCACTTGTTCCTTTGGGCCTGTGGCAGCACATCATGGTGGGAGTGGGTGGTGGGGTATTGGGAGCCATTGAAACTGAAAATTGAACACAAGTGCTGAGCTGCTGCGTGGCTGGGGCATGGCCAACCCAAGAACAAAGAGACTCCTCAAAGGGCAATATAACGTCACAGCTGAGGACACCTGACCCCAACTCCAATTAA